TAATTTTAGGTTTGGTTTGTTGCTTTCTTAGTCCTTGAGATGGATTGATAATTTCTTGATATAGACACTAATTGCTATAAACTTTCCTACTAATTGGCTTTTGCTGTATCCTGTAAGTTTTGATATGTTGTATTGTCATCTTCATTCATTTCCAGAAATTTTTTGATTTCCCTTTTGATTTCTTCTGTGACTCAGTATTCAAGAAGGATTTCAGTCTCCATGTGTTTTCATATTTTCTAGAGATTCTTAAGTTGTTAATTTCCAGCTTTATTCTTTTGTGATCAGAAAAAGTGCATCATATGATTCAATTTTTTTAATTTGCTGAGTCTTGCTTTATGGCTTAGTAAATGGCCTATCCTAGAGAAGTTCCACACACTGATGAAAAGAATGTTTATGCTTCAACCGTAGGATGAAATATTCTGTAGATATCAATTATGTCTGTTTGGTCCATGGTGTCGATTAGCTCTGTTGTATCTTGATTGATTTTCTGTCTGGTTGATCTGTCCACTGATGAAAGTGAGGTGTTGAAGGTCCCCATTACTACTGTGATGGAGTCTATATCTCCCTTTATACCATTAACATTTGTTTTAGATAGGCAAGTGCGCTGGCATTGAGTACGTATATATTTATTACAGTCACATCTTCCTGTTGATTCATCCCTCAATGATTACATCGTGTCCTTTTTTTTTTCTCTTTTAACAGTTTTGTCTGATATTAGGATGGCTACACCTGCTCATTTTTGCTTTCCAATAGCATGGAATAACTTTTTCCATCCTTTCACTTTCAATTTCTGTGTATCTTTGTTGCTGAGGTATGTTTTTTTGTAGGCAGCAAGTGGATTGATTAAAAATTTATTCAGCCAGCTCTGTCTTTTAATTGGAGAATTTGGGCCATTTACATTCAAAGTTACTATTAAGAAGTAACAACGTGGTCCTACCATTTTCCCATAAATATTGCTATAGTTTGCTTTGGATTTCCTTTGTAATTTTATTAGGTTTTCTGCCTTCATATTCTTTCATAATGATGACTATTGTTCTCTGTGTCTTTGTACAGCACCTCATTAAAGCATCATTTATAAGGCTAAAAAAGTGGTTACAAATTCTCTCAATTTCCATTTGATATGAAAGGTCTTTATTGTCACTCCGTTCTCTCCAAGCCTGTAGGATTGCTGCTGAGAAATCAACTGTCAGTCTAATTGGGGGTCCTGTGAAAGTGATCTGGCATTTCTCTCCTGCATGTTCTGGAATGTTTTCTTTATGTTTTACTGTTGAATGTTTGACTGAAGTGGATCATGGTGAAGATCTTTTCTGATTAGGAGTTGTGTGTGCTTCCTGTACTTGGATGTCCTTTTCTTTCTCCAAATTAGGGGAGTTTTCTGTCATTATTTCACTGAATAGGTCTTCTTATCCATTCTCTTTCCACACCTTCAGGAACTCCTAAGGCCTGTATGAGGAGTCATTTGAGAGCATCTCATAAATCTCGAACACTGTGTTTAATTTTTCTAATTTCTTCTTCTATTTTTTCTTCAGTCTGACTTGACTTGAACCTCACATACTGTTTCTTCTGCCTCAGCAAGTCTGTTGTTAGGCTTTCTGCTGTATTTTTTATTTGCCATATTCAATTCTTCATTCCTTTTTTGTTTTTAAAGATTTATCGTATTTATTTGAAAGAGTTAGAGAGAGAGGTAGAGACACAGAGAGAGGTCTTCCATCCACTGATTCACTCCCCAGGTGTCCTCAATGGGCAGAGCTGAGCCAGTTTGAATCCAGTTGCCAGGAGCTTCTTCTGGGCCTCCCACGTGGGTGCAGGGACCCAAGGACTTGGGCCATCTTCCACTGCTTTCCCAGGCCACAGCAGAGAACTGGGTCAGAAGAGGAACAGCTGGGACTAGAACCGGCCCATATGGGATTCCGGCGCTTCAGGCCAGGGTGTTAACCCGCTGCGCCACAGTGCCGGCCCCTGAATTCTTCATTTCTAATATTTCAGTTTGATTTCTCTTCATAATCTTTTATCTCACAGCAAACTTTTTCATCCATGTCATGTGTGAATTTCTTTAACTCATGAATTTGCTTCTCATTGCTTCTGAGTAACCCTATGATCATTCTTTTGAATTCCTTTTCCAGCATTTCATCAATCTCTCTGTCTTCACATTCTAACACTGAAGTGTTGTGTTCCTTTGGGGGAATCATGTTGTCTTCCTTGTTCTTATTTCTTGTATTTCTACATTTATTTTTAGGCATTTGTGGGAACACTTATTGTTTTTTTTTCACTGATGGATTTTATCTGTGAACGGTGCCTTTGTGGCTCAGTGGAGTGTCTGCTCCTGGAGTGAATACCCAGAGGTGTGTGCTGGGTGCAGCCAGGGAGCACTGGTCAGTGCTCAAGGGTGGGGTTAGAATGCAGGGTGACTCCCAGGTTGGGCAGGGGAACCTCTGTTGTCAGAAGGGGAAGGGTACGATCATACCTGTTGGAGTAATCACACCCTCACCTCCTCTTCCAGGGTGATCAATGCCTGGGGTTAGCCCACAGCGGGTACAACCCTCACCCACACTGCTGCATGCACTGCACAGCGATCTGTGCAGTCCTCAGTGTGAGCACGGAACTCTGCAGTGAGCACCCCAGGGTCTCAGGGAGCTCCGCGCCGCTGATGCCGACACAGTGATTGCCCAGAGCCCCAGCTACACCCCCTCTCCTAGCCCACAGTCGAGGGGTGCAGAGAATCCCCCTCATCCCTACAAGCCTGCCCCGTCCCCGGAGAGAGCCGAGTCATTCCCCGAGCTGGCTGCGTGTGGGTGCAGACTGGAGCCTGCGTGCTAGGTTGAGAGGGTGGAGCACCCCACCATCCCAAGTGGGTGCCCAGCCCTCATCAAACCTCCCTGCCAGACTCAGTCAGTAGGAAATGCAGATTGTTTTCCTCTGGTAAAATCTCCTGATTGTGTGTGTAAGAGCCGCTGCGGCCTCTACTGCAGTCAAGATGGCACCGTCTTCCCGCCGGTTGCTGGGGCCGATACAGGGGTCTGGGAAGAAAAAAATGTGCTTTTCCTTCGCTGGATTGGGTGGGTACCCTGCCCCCTGCTAGGGCTCCAGGCCAGACTCTGAAGACAGTATGGTCCACAGGGTTCCCCCTCAGTGGCATGGGCTGCAGCGGTGCTGTCTCCTCCAGCCCCGGCCGTGGGAGTCCTGCGTGGTGTCCTGCCTGCTGCCGTGCACGGCATCCCTGCTCTTCCGGTAGTTTCCACTGCAGGCTTCTCTCCCGCGCTCCCTGGGAATGCTCTTCCTCTGCTGTTCTGCTCTCTGTCCCTGCTCGAGTCAGCACGTCTTTCCCTGTTCAGCCAGCGTGGAATCTGCTCTTGACTGGTTCTTGTGTTAAGGAATCCTGTAGTCGATTTTAATACTAGATTAGTTTGCAGGCCCCCTGGGACTTTCCCTTTTCACTGCTGACGTGCAGGTGGTAAGGCATCAGCAGTGAACAGTCCAGAAAAACTGAGTTCCAGTCTTCATCCCGTCACCCGCTCCTGGTGGAATGTAGGACCACACTCAGTCCTCAAGCCTCTCAGTTCATCCAGAATGAAGCTCGAAACTTGGTCTGAGGCCCTATCCCACACCTCCCATCTTACGCTTCCATCGCCGCAGAGCCCCATTGTTTCCTGTGCTCAGCGTCGGCCAAGGCCAGCTCTGTGACTTCACTTACAGTATTCCCACTCCCCTTCCTCCTGCCCTAGATTTAATCCAGCCAGTCTCTTAAGTCCCTGATAGATCTCCTTCTCCGCCCCTCAGCAGGAAGTACTTTTGCTCATTTTTTGTTTGTATTCCGTTTCCCCTGTCTGTGGTGGTCACTTGCTATCTGTGTGGAGCTGCTTGGAGTGACTTACTGAGCAGGCTTGTCCTTGGGCCTCTGATGGGAGGCAGTGTGCCCCAAAGCAGTGGTCTCGGTAATGGATCTTGGCACTAGTAATGTTTTCCAGACTATGTTATGACTCATTTGCTATCTGTGAAAATAGCTTTGGTAGTTTGAGAGCATCATTTTTTAAAAATTGAAATAAAGTAGAAAAGAACATAACACGTGTAAGCGTTTGTAAAAGATGCATTTCCAGCAGGTTTTACATTTGCACACACATTCACTGCCTGGTAATACAGAAAGTACTTTTTAGTGTGGGTCCCAGTAAAAATGCTTAAAAACATTGCACCAGATTTTATCTTGTATAATTTTTTAATTTTAAAATTTAGAGGTGGGATATTTGGAATTTTAATTAAACTCAAAGAGCATAATTTGCTTTCACCTAATTTGTTCCATCCTATTAATTATATGCCACGTTATTTATAAACGAAGGATTCTTTTCATCAGTATCTATTGTATAGCCATTGTTCTACTACTAAATCTGTTGTTTTAGATTTGGGTGTATAACTGGGCTAGAAATACAAGTATAGAAATCATTTTTCTAAAATAACAATTTTTGAAGAAAAAGGATCATCACAGATGTGTCTCTGAAATTTTTCTTATGTTTCTAAAATTTCTCTTTGTTGTATACTTATCAGTGTTGGTATACTGGGAAGATAGTACTTTTAAGTACGTTAGACTGGAATAAGTATTGGAATACATTTTTAAAGTTCTGAATAAAAACAGTAAAATTTTCACTTTATGAAGCAAGTTTATTATATACAGGGCTCTATTTGAAAAGAAATTTAACTCTTAAATTAAAAATGACTTGACCTTGCTATTTTTAGCAGTCTGCTCAGCGAGAAGCATGTTAAATATTTCTTCAAAAAGAGAATGCATACTCAGAGCTTCCACCCATCACAGGCACCCTCAGCAGCGGCATGTGGCTACACTCGGAGAGCCGGGGCAGTCCCTGGCCAGGCTGCGGCCCGTTCTCAGTGAAGTCGTTCGGGACGGACTTCGTTTACATGTGCAACGCAAACCTTCCCTGAAGCTTGTAAGTCTGAGAGTTGCTGTGCACTGTTGGTAAACGCCTCTGCCTTTCTCCTTCCCTTCTCTCTAGGGTCAGTATAGACCTTCTGACTTGTTGTGTCCCGAGACGTACGTTTGGGTGCCCATAGAGCAATGCTTACCTTCCCTGGAAACCACCAAGTATTGCCGTTTCAACCAGGATCCAGAAGCAGGTATGCTTGGGGCAGAGCTCCACTGAAAATCGTTGGCTTTATTTTTGCAGTCTGTGTGTGGCTGTGATTCTTAACAAGATCTAGGTAGCTTATTCCATATCATAACGTGTGCTTGAGTACGTGTGTGTGAGTAAGATGGAGAGAGACACTGCGCATGGCACGCTCACTCATACTCACAGTGTGGCAAGAAATCCAGAAACTTCATGTGCATTCACTGCTTCCTGACGTGGTTCTTCTGTTAGGTAGATTTTGCATACTTTGAGAGTGGGCACCATTAATCATTTATTTTATAACTCTTCATTGCATAAAAGTCGTTCACTGGATTGGTTATTTAGCTAAAGAAGTTAGAAACGTTGAGTAGTTGGTCTAAATAAAGTCCACTTTTTATGATAAAACTGTCTTTTCTTTTTAGATTTCTGTATTTGTTTGAAAAGCAGAGTCGGCAGGAGCAGGGGCGTATGTGGAGATAACGTCCACTGGTTCATTCTTCACATGGCTGCGATGGCTGGGGCTGGGGCTGGGAAAGGCCCAAGCCAGGAGCCAGAATTCCGTCCTAGTATCCCAGATGGGTGGCAGGACCACAAATACTCGGGCTCCCTGGCGATTAGCAGGGAGCTGGATTGGAAATCTAACAGCCAGGACTTGAACCAGCGCTCCTGTGGGATGCCAGCAGCGCAGGCTGCAGTTTAACCCTCTGTGCCGCAGTGCTGGCACCCGTGACAATACTTTCTTGATTTCCTTCTTACATCTCTGTTGTGTCTCCTTTTCTGTCTTCTGCCTGCTGCCCAGAGTAGCATCAGCCATGTTGCATTTCCTGTATTCCCCTTTGGATATTCTGTGTACCAGTGGTATATACAGATAATAAATATGTAGCCTTGTAGACAGACTTTCTGGATTGACAGCCTGGCTCCAAGGTCAGGTGGCAAACTGTGTCCCCTTAGGCAATTAAAAAATTGAGAGTGAGCATTTAGCCCAGTGGTTGAGATGCCTGCATCCCACAGGAATGCACGAGTTCAGGGCCAGGCTCCAGCTTCCCATCAGTGCAGACCCTAGAAGGCGGTGGTGATGGTGCAAAATATAATGGGGCTCCTGGCTGTGGCCCTGGCCCAACCCCAGCTATCGTGGGCATTTGAAGAATGAACCAGTGGATGGAAACATCCCTGTCTTCACTTCACACTGAAATCCTTGATGTTTCTGCATTGTACTTAATTAAACGTCAAGTTCTCCCAAAAGCCAGCATAGGAGATGCCCTATGCAGACTTATGAATACAGCCGTTTTTCCTCCAGCCACCTGCATGGTCGAGGTGTGGGAATAAAGAAGGAAAGAGAAATGGAAGATGGGGGTGGAGGGAAAGAGAAATGGAGGATTCAAGTGAGAATCCAGGGGGAAGAGGAGAAATGCGGTGATTTCTTGAGTTCAGAGATGCGTGCTTTCTCCCAGTTCCCTCACCAGTCACCTCCTTGAGAAGCTGTCAGGAGGTCAGAGCGGCCTCCTCTTACAGGTGGTGGTGCTGTGAAGCCTGCTGTCTCAGGTGCAGGGCACCCTAGGGTTGGCCCCATGTTTAATAGGGTCATTTCATTCTAAGTAAAGTTACACCTCATTGATCTAACAGTTATATTGCTTAAAAACAAACATTAAATTTATCAATCAGTTTTGGAGTTTGGCTCAGAGCCACAGTCAGCAGTGTTACAGAGGAGAGCCCCCACTCTTCTTGTCCCTTCAAAAACAAAAGAAAACACCTCTCCTTTTAACTTCTCAGGGCTACATCAGAACCAGTCCCTTCTCATTGAAAATTGCTGAACAGCTTATTGAAATGCTTCATATTCACATATAAAAGTTTATAAGTTCTTTCCGGCTGAATAGTGTCTGGTCTTAAGTTTGTTTTTAACTCCCAAACTTATGGCGCAATTTCACTTTCTCCTTTTCTTTCTTGATCTGTTTTAAAGTTTCTATCTCTTCCTCTTTTTTTTCTTAAGTTTTATTTATTTATTTGAAAATCCGTTACACAGAGATAGGAGAGGCAGAGAGAGAGGTCTTCCATGCGCTGGTTCACTCCCTAGATGACTACTGCTTTCCCAGGCCATTGCAGAGAGCTGGATAGGAAGTGGAGTAGCTGGGACTCAAACCAGCGCACATATGGGATGCCGGCACAGCAGGTGGTGGCTTTACCTGCTATGCCACAGCGCCAGCCCCTCCAGGATTTCATCACTCTTATCATTAGCTATGAAATCTGCAATTGATACTTCTTCCTATTTTGTGAATTACCAGCAAATATTTCTGCTTTGACTGTTACTTTATAGTAACAAAATATGAATGATTAGCTTAACCAATAAAATCCTTAAGTAGTTACTTGATGTGGAATATTTTGCAGCCTACTTCATCTGATAGTACTGTATCTAATAGTAGTGGAAGGAATTGATCCAAAGACAGATATAATAATCCAACTTCAGTGTAATGGAGCCTCAAAATTTGTTCCACAAGGTGTTTTTCCCCCAGAAACCTTTTATTTAAGGAAAACAAACTTCACGTATTTCATAAATACAACTTTAGGAATATAGTGATTCCTGCCACCAAACCTCCCCTTCCACCCTTCTTCCTTCTCCCTCTCCTATTCCCATTATTATTTTTTACTAAGATATATTTTCAACTAAATTTATCAATGTATTATTAACTCAGTACTAAGTAAAGAATTCAACAAATTGTATGAAAGAAAAAAAAACTGTTCCTCAACAGTTGAGACAAGGGCTGGTCAAAGTCAATGCACCTCAAAATGTCAATTTCACATCTGTAGATTACCTTTTAGGTGCTCTATCAGTTTCCAAAGACTGGGGATAAAATATGGTATTTGTCCTTTGGGGACTGGCTTATTGCCGTAAGCATGATGTTTTCCAGTTTCATCCATTTTGTTGCAAATGAGAGGATTTCATTTTTTTAACTGCTGTGTAGTATTCCATGGTGTACATATCCCATAATTTATTCAGTTTTGAGTTAATGAACATTGGGTTGACTCCATGTCTTAGCTATTGTAAATTTAAACATAGGCGTACAGATAACTTCCATATGCTGATTTAATTTCCATTGGGTAGCTTCCCAGGAGTGGATGGCTGGGTCACATGGTAGGTCTATATTCAGATTTCTGAGGTATCTCCCTACTATCTTCCACAGTGGCTGTACCAGTTTACATTCCCACCAACAGTGCATTAGGATACCTTTTTCCCCACATTCTCACCAGCATTTGTTATTTGTTGATTTCTTTATGAAAGCCGTTCTGACTGGGGCGAGGTGAAACTTCCTTGTGGTTTTGGTTTGCATTTCCCTGATGTCTAGTGATCCTGAACATTTTTTCATGTGTCTGTTGGCCATTTGGATTTCCTCTTTTGAAAACTGTCTGTTTAAGTCCTTGGCCCATTTCTTCACTGCGTTTATTTTGTTGTTGAGTTTCTTGAGTCTTTATAGATTCTGGTTATTAATCCTTTGTCAGTTGCATGGTTTGTAAATGATTTCTCCCATTCTGTCTGTTGCCTCTTCACTTTGCTGAGTTTTTGTTTTGCAATGCAGAAGCTTCTCAATTTGATATAATTCCATTTGTCAATTTTGGCTTTCATCGCCTGAGCCTCTGGCGTCTTTTCCAAGAACTTGTTATTTTTTATAAGATTTTTATTTTATTTATATGTCAGGTAGAATTATAGACAGTGAGAGAGAGAGACAGAAAGGTCTTCCAAATGCTGGTTCATTCCCCAAATGGCCACAACAGCCAGACTGGGCCAACCTGAAGCCAGGAGTCAGGAGCTTCTTCCAGGTCTCCCACGCAGATGCAGGGGCCCGAGCACTTGGGCCGTCTTCTACTGACCTCCCAGGTCATAGCAGAGAGCTGGATCTGAAGAGGAGCAGCTGGGACAAGAACTGGTGCCCGTATGGGGTGCTAATGCTGCAGGCAGAGGATTAGCTTAATGCCCAACAGTGCCAGCCCCTCCAAAAATCTTTGCCTATGTTAATGTCTTACAGGGTTTTCTCAATGTTCTATAATATTATGATGGTATTGGATCATATATTTAGGTCTTTAATCCATTTTGAGTGGATTTTTGTGCAGTGTGGGGGTCTTGCTTCACACTTCTGCATGTGGAGATACAGTCTCCCCTGCTCCATGTGTTGAAGAGACCGTCCTTGCTCCAGGGGTTGATTTTAGCTCCTTTGTCAAAGATTACCTGGTTGTAGATGCATGAGTTGATTTCTGCTGTTTCTGTTCTGTTCGATTGGTCTATCCATCTGTTTTTATACCAGTACCAGTTTTGATTATAACTGCCCTGTAGTATGTCTTGAAATCTGGTATTGTTATACCTCTGGCTTTGTTTTTGTTGTATAAGATTGCTATAGCTATTCAGAGATTCCTGTGTTTCCATATGCACTTCAGCACTGTTTTTTTTTCTTCTTCTCTATATCTGAGAAGAATGTCATTGGTATTTTGATCAGTATCACATTGAATCTGTAAATTGCTTTTGGTAGTGTGGACATTTTGATGATGTTGCTTCTTCCAACTCATGAACATGGAAGATTTTTTAGTTTTTTTATGTCTTCTATTTATTTCTTTAATGTTTTGTAATTCTACAAGGAGCTATTGTGAATGGGATTGATCTTAAAAGTTCTTTTTTCAGCTGTGGCATTTTCTGTTTATATAAAAGCTATTGATTTTTATGTGTTGATTTTATATCTTGCTGCCTTACCAAACTCTTCTGTGAGTTCTAATAGTCTCTTAGTGGAGTCTTTTGGTTTGCTATGTATAGAATCATGTCATCTGCAAATTGGGATAGTTTGACTTCCTTCTTCCTAATTTGTACCCCTTTGATTTCTTTTTCTTGCCTAATGGCTCTGGCTAAAACTTCCAGGACCATATTGAATAGCAGTGGTGAGAGTGGGCATCCTTGACCAGTTCCAGATCTCAGTGGGAATGCTTTCATATTCCCTATTCAGTAGAACGCTGGCCGTGTTTGTCATAAACTGC